AATCATCTTTACCTACCCAGTCAGTGGATAACCTTTGGTTTCCCCACGCCACAAGAACGGGTGGACACAGGTTAACGTGCATTTTTCAGGGGGGAGTCAGTCTAAAGTTGCTGGCTCCGCACACCTCTCCAAACTGCAATCATTGGACCTCAAAGCTCCACTGATATTTGTTGCTACGGAGTCCATGACTGCAAAACTTCAGCGATCACGCATGCCAAGCATGCATGTGTCCAGACGCTTTCAATGTTGGAGACGCCTTTTGACCCATGTCCCCCTAAGGCCCAGTGGAGGAAGGCGACTCACAGCGTGCAGCCTTGGCGCGAGTGGGACAGGCCTTCGCACAGCAGTGTGGATGGCTTTTCAAGTGCCTGCCGGGACCAATCAAGGCAACTGTGTTTTTCTATATTTGTTTTTTTAATCCTTGCCAATGTTTGACGCTAGGGCCGGTAGGGCATAGCTTTGTTGGTCCCCAATGCAAGTACAAGAAAACAATGAGAAATTGTTGCATGTGGCCCTGTGGCATGCAAAAAAATCAAAGAACCAGAGTATGAGAATGAATAATGCGCTGTCAATCCGAGGCAAGAGTGTGTGATTGGATATGCAAAAATATTTAGATTATATAGATAGAAGGCTAGAAGGCAATTGCACTGAATGAAACTCCATTGCAAGTTTTAACATATTCAGAAGCCATTTCACACCAGCCAATCCGGTAATCAACAGTGGACGGGTGGGTGCTGGAGAAGCCAAACCATTGTTGAAATGCACAACATATGATATCTATCTATATAATTATGTGTATACTGTATATATAGTATTATAGTATTATATAATATATGTTTGGTTATTACGTCCAATGTTTGGTTGAACATGTTGGAGCCGCATAGCGCAGGCACCCACAATATGCATATTCCCACAATATGCATAGTTGCTCACCTTTCGGGGCGTTTCAAAGGCTGCTTCAGAGAAGGTCGGAGAGGTGTAAGACTGTAGAAAGTTGCTGATCATCGCAGCTGGGTGTTTGCTTGATCCATTGAACATTTCTGCAATTTGCGGTATCACATGTTCATGTTGAGCATAATCCGGCTCTACTACTTGAGCGGGCCACTGCACCCCTTCCTACAGGGAAGGTCTTGGGTTAGCTTGATTAAGTTCTCCAACACCAGGATATCAATACATTATGTTTGTCTATATTACAAAGTGATGAAATTACACTCCGACCTTTCTCCACAATGTTACGGTTTGAAAACCATGGTCCATGGAAGCATTTTGCCCATTTTGGTCGTCCACTCGACTTTCCGGTCACGAGCGGGTCGCTGCCAGGCCTTGCCCAAGGTGGGGAAGTATACTGTGGATGTGGCCGCCTTCGAGGCCGACATGGCGCTGTTGTGAGACGCAGCGAGACTGAAACTGAAACCATTAGATCAAGAAGTGAACTGTCCAAATCCACGAGGAACCGGCATATATACTGTAGATCACATTCTGGCATTTAAACATGAGTCTTGAGTGTGTCAAACTTGGCTGGACCTGGTATGGGAGCAAGCTCACAGTTCCAACCCAATGTAAGACCTTTCATCCAACTGAGCCATTTGTGTGCCGGGAAGGTTGCTATTAATGATATTAATGGTTGGGAATTTCAGGCTGATAAATATCCATACGAATCATCAAGCTGGGTGCTTGTGACCACGAGGCCATGCGCCCCAGGAAGGTGTCATGTTTGGAAGAGATGTCCCCTTGATTGCTGAATCTAGACTTAATTAAGACTTGGGTAGGTGGAGGGTGTCAAATGCGCTGGTGGCTGAAAACCGCTGCCTTACGTAGACGGGGTGGACCAAGTCAGTCACGGATCATGCTTTGTGAACGGGTTTCATCGCTTGGTACCTGTCGGAGGTGAGGTTTCCCGGCCAGATTAACACAGCTCCGACCAGTTTCCCAGTGTCACTTGAGCTGGCGTGAATGCGAGGCCTTTGCATTGCCTGCGTTGGAGCCTCCAAAGGAGGAGCAATGATTAGTGGCTGGCATGGGGCATGTGAGGCTTTGGCCAGGCCGAATGAGTTGCTCCAACGAGCCGCGCCTTTTGGACCATGACATGTTCTGCCTTTCAACGAGCCGCATATGGCCCTGCCTTGTCGTGCAGGACCACCTTGGGTTGGTCGATGGTACACAGATGCTCGGGTGGATCAATGACACAAGGGTTGATGGACAAAATCCTTAGGAATCCCGGAATCCCGTATTATCATATTGTCCCCTTGGCTGCGCTTTGAGGAGTTCCAGCTGCCAGAGAATCCACGGCTCTACGAGGATGAGGGTGCCTCGCAGAAGGCGCGAGCGTTGGAGAATGTCACGAAAGGTAGCGGTTACGCTACCTGAGTTTTCCTTTTGCTTTAGCAAAATGTATTACTGTAACCCAGAGCTGCAGCCTATCTCTCGGAGAAATGGTCCCCGACATCTTCGTTTGCTGGCCGGGGGGGGGGGGGCCCCCCCCCCCCCCCCTTTCAACTCCACCCTAGCGCGCCTCGGGGTCAACCGTTCGAAAACACTGTAAATATCAGTGTTTTCAGCTCTTCCAGTCCTCAGCAGTGACCAAAAATCATTGAATTTACAGCGTTTTTTGTGGCTGTCCGGCAAAAAACACCGCAAAAACCGATGGTTTTTGATGCGCAACGGTTAGAAAAATGACCAAAAAAAGACCAAAAACCAGGAAAGATTTTGTCAGAAAGGGTTTTTGAGGCTTTTGGAGGCTTCAAAATTGCACAAAACTATGGTATTTACAGGGTTTTGTGCACCTTCCCGGCAGAAAACGCCGGTATTTACACGGTTTTCTGCGCTTTTCCAGCGCTCAACCGTGGTGCGCCTTTGGATCGACGGCTACAAAATACCGTAAATACCAGTGTTTTCAGCTCCTCCTGTCTTCAAGCGTGGCCTTAGACCTCGCCGCGGCTGTGGATCGACGGCAACGAAACCTCGTAAATACCAGTGTTTTTGAGCACGTCCTGTTTGCAAGCATGGCCTGCGGCCACGCAATTTAAAGGGTCGCCGCACGTCACTATGTAAATCCGAAGTTGCATTTGAGAAATATGTGACTCCTTTTGAAGGCACGTCAACCTGTATTGAAACCGCTAGACCGCTACAGCTTCTGGAGGTTTTGTCAAGCGTTTGTGCATTAGTTGTTCTTTCATCACGCTCACTCACTTCTCTTCAAACAAGTGGGGGGCCTCTCACCTCCTCCCGGATTACGCCTGATTCCCTGCTACCTTTCGTTCACCCCCCTCCTCTCTCAAGTTTGAAGGTCGTGTAACATAGGTTTAGTTACAGTAATAACATAGTGTAACACAACATACGTTACAACATGATCTAACATGGCCTATGTTCACTAATTACATGCCAAGCTAGCATTTATGTAAACTGTGTTTATTGGAGAAAGTATATAGAATGTCAGAATGAAGCCAATTAATAGTTCCAAGTGCAAAAGCAACAGATGGAGAAGTGAGCGAAGTTAGCATGTTTCCCGCGAACGCTTGCGAGGGTTCTTCTGTAGAAATCTTTTGTGTAACACATTTGCATCAATACATTGGGATTCATATATGTATGCTATATATAATATATAAGTACATTTGCAGCTTGCAGGCGTGGTCTTCTAGAGATGTTGCTACGGAGGTGGTAATACATTTGCAACTTATATAGCAGCATTTGTAGGCATGCTACAGTAGGTATGCTACAAGTACTTTTGCAGGTTTCAGGTGTGGTTGTTGTGTAGAGCTGCTGCTACGCTAGCATAGCTTTGATGCTGGGATCTTGCTTTGATATATTTCGCTTGGAGCTTGCTTCAGTAAAGTCATATGCAAAGTCAAGTCAAGTATAACTTTCGCTGGGGTCTTGCTTCAGTAAACAAATATGCAAAGGTAAACATACGCTAACATAGAGTGGATGTCTTAGTAGTGAGATGTGTAAAAAAAACGGGTTGGATGTGTCCTCCAGCTGCGAAGTAAATGCATCCAGGAACTACACAGAGCAGGTACAAGATACTGCGCTGTATTTCATCCAAAGGAACACCATAGTTTTGTGAACGCAGCTAGTAGGTGCATGGTCGCCGTGGTGTCTCCTCGAAATTCCGAAGAGGCGCTTTCAGGGTTTCACAGACACACACACACACACACATGCGTGCGCATCACGTCACACCGTCACACAACATTTACAAAACAATCAAAAGGTTGAATCAATTTGACACGTTTGCCTGTTTTTTCTACCACGGCGCGATACACACCATGGTCCTATACAAATATATAGAATCGTTTCGGTGACCTCGGTGACCTCATCCAATCAGAGGCTTTCCCTTGAATCCTCCCAGTGCCAAGTGTCTCCAAGCGCCACATGGCGCTCAGGTGGTGAGCCTTCTTTATGAGCCGACGGAGGATGAGGAGAGCCCATCGTGACAGTCCGAGCTTTTGATCCGACCTGGTGTGATACATCCACTGATCCAGGTGAGCTGAAGAGGAAATACCTGGTGAAATCTGACCAAGTCAGCTCCACCGCTGGCCCTCACCTGATGAGTTGTACATTTGCTGTGTTGTGTGACGTCTTCGCCCGGTTTGGTCTGGTGGAACAATGAGTGGGGGCGCAGGCCCGCTTCCCCAACACGTTTGGTCGGAATCCTACGGAAGCTTTGCTGTTGGATTTTTTTTGGATGTGACAGATCGAGCATTCCCACAGTTTTCAGTTTGGAGAATCTATGAGGTGACAGTCTTGGAACCACCACGATGACTACTGTACGATAATGCAAAGTTACGATTAATAAACCTCCCCTAGTTAATCCGAAGACACAAGCCCACCAAAAATTGCCCAAATTAAAAGTATTATTCGTGCCTATTTCCCCCCCTAATTTTCTAGTTGGGCATCAGAAACCCCCCCCAGTTAATCCGAGCCCACAACCAGGTCAATTTTTCGTATTACTACTACTACTACTACTACTACTACTACTGCTACTCCTACTGCTACTGCTGCTGCTGCTGCTCCTCCTGCTGCTGCTGCTACTGCTACTGCTACTAGTGCTAGCTATTGCTGCTGCTGCTACTGCTACTAATGCTAGCTATTGCTGCTGCTGCTGCTGCTGCTACTGCTACTGCTACTGCTACTGCTACGTGCTACTACCACGACCACCACCACCATCAACACCTACTACCTACTACATGTTTGATGAAATCCTTAAAAATGTCTAGGGCTCAGGGCCTATAAACTGCCTTATTAAAAAACAATTAAAAACAATCATTTGACAAGCTCACAAAGGGTACCCCTCACAAGGGCCGGTCCCCCATCAATAATCTGCACTACTACCCCCTATTAATTTGATCCTGTGTCCCTGGCCTTTTCTTTGTGCTTGTTTAAACTTGTTGTGACTACTACTACCTGCTACCTACTACTACCTACTAGTTACTACTACCTACTACTACCTACTACCTACTACTACCTACTACCTACTATCTACCTACTACCTACCTACTACCTACCTACTACCTACTACCTACTACCTACTACCGACGACGACTGCGACTACGATGGCTCCCTGAGCCGATAATTCAGGGGAGGTGGACCTCATGAGTGGTATCTCAGACCTTCTTGACCTTGTTGACCTACCATGTGGGGGGGGGTTTATTAATCGGAGGTTGTCATTAGCAAGAAACAAGTAAGTCTTGGTAAAACTAGAATGGACTTTTTGCAAGTCCACATGAAAGTATGTCACATCAATCCATCAAATGGAAACCTTGAACGGCCTGAATGTGAAACTGAAAGTCTGAGACCCATAGTCATCATGATCTTTGAACCAAGCGTTGCTGAAGTCCTTCAGCACCTGTCATTTTCCGTTGGACCAAACACCTGCGACAGTGATTGACGCTTCGCGCAGGAAGGTGCCAACAGCCGAATCCGCTTGGAGTTTGGGGAGGCCACGTCGCGGAGGGCCACGTCGTTTGGTTTTTGGTTTCAGTTCCAAGATGGAAAATAGGCATAGGCCCTTAGGCGGCATAGGCGGCATAGGGGTCATTGTAGGTCGCAAGTGTGCTGAGCTCACGACCCACTGTTTAGCATCGCTGAGCACGGTCGTTTTGAATTTCATGTTGTGCAAACTTTTTGAGTCGCAGAGTTGGGAACGGGGTGAGAAGTGGTTTCTAAAGTTCCAACCTCACCTTGAGGGAAGCAGAACTCACCTTGAGGGAAGCAGAAGAATTCCCGATGGAAACTATTGTTTGGGGTCCCTACTTCTGGTAGGATAGCTGGTGCTCAGGATTCAGGATGCGTCATGTCAAGGAGCTATCGGATTTGTTGTTCGGGCATGGCCAGCTCGAAAGGTCGATTTTATTTCAAGCTAGTTTCAAGATTCTGAACTAGTACTTGCAACGTCAAGGCGCACCAAGTGCTTCAAAACCATTGTACCACCCAGGATGCAACCCATTGATGAATGTTTAGACAGCTTCTGACGGTGTTTGTTGATTTGTTATGCGTCCTCCACATGGTCAAGAGTGATGTTGCTTTGGGTCAGGCGTTCTAGAGGACGCGCAAGGTATTGAAGCTTCCATGAAAATACTCGACCATAATTAACAATATATAATATATGGCACATCTCACTTCACGGTATGGGCCAGCTTCGGTTGGTCAGCGGACCAGGAACTCAACGTCCCACCTTCGACCCTACAGGAGGCAGACATGCAGCGTTGGTCGCCCTTTTGGTGTGTTTTGTTCTCATTGAAGAAGCCGGAAAGGCGCCGTGCTTTAGGCTTTCAAATGACCAAGTCAGTCAAATGAAGAGTTGGATTAAACATGAGTGTTGATGGATAGCGAATGGCAACGGAGATAGGTTACATGATGCTTTGTCGTTGGGAATACCTCGAGGTGGGGGACCTGAGTGATTTTCAGGGGACCAGCATAGGTGTGTAGACAGCACTTCCGATGAGGCAGGCATGTTTCAGCCGGAACCAGTCATCAACCATATTTGGTGGTTGAAACGGTGCAAAGAACTGCATTGTGTTGGAGGTTCTGTTGAAGCACATAGGAGGGCGGATCTCCCAAAGCAAGCCCAATGTGGACGTGATGTTCCAATCAATCAATCCACCCTTGTTTGTTCATGAGTGATGAGACCAACCTTGAAAGGAGCCTGGGCCTTGCCCCGATTTCAAGGGGGTTGCTGTGGGTTTCAAAGTACTGCTAGTGAAGCCTCATTGCGTGTGCATGTGTTATGTTTTTTACTTTGTTTAGATTGCAGATGTATCAATTTGTATCAGATCCAAAGATGAACTTGATATACACGATGATTCCAGTACGGTCTCCGGCTTGTAGTCCACAGCAGCACAGAGTTGAATCAAAATAGCCTCGCCCTGTATACTGTGGTCGTTTGTGTGTATTTAGATATTATTATGTGGGTGTGGCTCGAAGACTAAGACCGAGAGACTCTGAAACAACCTGCAGGTGAGTTGGGTTCAGTCACTTTCCTTGAAGTGTACTCAGTTGTGTTCGCCATACCCATGCATATCCATGCATCATCGCTCACCCAAATTTGCTCCCAAATGCGCTGGCGTCAGATCCCAGCTGGATGGAAGCATCCAGACCAGGACCCGCATCCGTGTTCCAACGTCGACAGGGCCGCGAACGGAGTTGAAGTTGCTGGATTACTGTAAGCGATCATGCTAAGTAACTAAGTATAAGTAAGTAGACTTGGGTCTTTGGAACATGACCATTAAGGCGCTGGCATCCCAAAGCGCTCCCAGGAGGATGAACCGGTGCCACGGCTGTGTGTGGTCGATGAGGCGCTTCCTTTGCGGCGGGCGGTTCCGACCACGCGGTTCCTAACCGGTCTGTAAGCAATCGTTTGCCAGTGACCGTTTGTGCAGCTTTGGTCCAAATTCTTTGGTCCAAATTCTTGAATTGAAATCAGCAACGATCAAGCTTAAAGTCTACTGTGCTGGGACTGCACAGTCCATGCCCAGATATTCCTCGAGATTCAATGTCCAAAGCCCAAAGCTTGCAAAAGATCGCCCGAGGTCCATAGTGTCCATTTGTTTTTTTTTATCAACCATGTTGCCATTCCCTGATCAGTACATCCAGGTATTTGGCCATGTAGGAAAGCTGCAGCTTAGACCTTGTTCCAGCTGTATTTTGAAGTATTGTGTTGATTCTGTTGATACTGTTTAGTGTCTACCAGGCCTTGCAAGTCCTATTTGATCCATTGAAATAAGTCTGTCGTGTGGTTTTTGCTGAGGTTCTGATAGGATGGAGATGGGTGTACAGTACCAGATAATCCAGAAAACAGCATCTTCCCTAGAAATAGATGATCAAGAATGTGCATCCACCAAAAGACCCGAATGCATTGAGAGGGAACAAACTAGACTAGGTTCTCTGGAATGCATTCTGGAGGATGGCCTGAAATACATGAACCATGCAAGATTTGCAACCAAAGTTACTGCTTCTTTAACACAGCAATGTGTTGAATGGTTTCTCAGGCTTTGCTCACCTGAGTTCCTGACACAAAATCGCAGGTTGGGAAGATGGGCCTCATGTCTGTGCAGTTCCCAAAGACACTGTCGAAGGTCTTGGACGCCGTCCGGGGGCCCAACTCATGACTGTTGACTTGGACATTTACAACCCCAGGTACTATAGCAGTCATGACACTTCTCGCATTTTCTCACATATACATCATATATGCATAATTGTTGCTATTATTGAATGCAATATTTGTAATTTGCATCGAACAATTGTTAGATATTTTTACATAACAATTTTTGTGTGAGTTTACTGGTGCAATTGAATCATTACCTAAATGTTATATAAATTGATTTAATAAGAACATTGATTAACATATTATATATGCTATATATATTATAAGAGTATAGTTATAAAATACATAGTAGTCCCATGCATGAGATCCCCTCGAAGCACCGACTCAACAAATGACGACGGAATCGACACGCCTTGTACCTGGCCATCCCTCTGATCGAACCCCATTGAGGAATCCGCGAACTGGCTGGAGACACAGCCTATGCAAACACGTCCCCGGATAATTAGATTAAAAAATAGATGCTTAGTAAGCAGCTGATTTGAAAACCATGGAACAAACTTGTGGACTGCAGTAGGGCACTTGGAGCTTTGACGCAGACCGAAACGCAATATGCTAAACATTGCTAAACAAATCCTCATGGAGGCTCATGCAATCACATGGCCACTCTGGTGTTGGTTTTGCGGTGGTGAAACAAAAATGCTTGTTGAGCCTTTGCTCTTCAACACATCCTCGTTCTTCTTTTCCGGCAGGAAGTGGTCCTCGCCACCGGCGTGCAAACTGCCTGGGGATCTCAATGGACAATGGAACACAGCGGATGTGAAAGGAAAGGTTTAAGCGTTAAATGTCGACAAAGCACTATCCTGTGCATGCTAACATATGCTAACTCTTTGTATGTTGCTTGTATGTGCGGTATTTGGAGGCGGAACATTTAGTTGACTTGTTGTTTGGTTTATATGACACGTTCCAAGGCTATGGTTTGTACAATTACTTCCTTACTTCCAGGACTGTAGTTTTGTCTCCAGGGAACAAACAACAGCCCATTCAATGGAAAGGGTTTGAAAGGCCCGCAATCCAAATCCGAAGAAGAGGTCTCCGTTCTTCCAAGCACCTGGACACGAGTTCTGATGAACGTGTCAGAAGCCCATTGACTGCATGGTTTGGCGGGTTTTTGTTGTGATCTTTCCTGATGTTTGCAATAATAGATGGTGTCGTTTTGGATCGATTTCTTTTAACCCCAATGAGTCTTTGGAGGCTTGGAGCCTTGCAGGTTCATCTTGGCGCTCTCATGTTTTGGCGCTGCTTTGATCAGAGGCCAAGGGTCAGCGTGACCCAGAAGCCATCGAGGACATCAAGAAGCGACCTGGAGTCCGTTGGGTAGCTCAGAGGGTGGGTTGCAGTTCTTCAGCTGCGGCGTGCTGCGGTGACAAGAACATGGACAGACACCGAACTGTCGATGTTTCAGCACGAAAATCCGAAGCCACCACTCCAAGGAGTCCTACTTACCAAGCACAATCATGTTGCCTTTTGCTTCCAATCAGCCACGTCTTGTCTTGTGTGAGATCATCTAACAATCACTTATCGACCCGTGTGTCCAGCACCTTGACAACCTGTTGTTTGGTTTGTTGCGGTTTGGTTTTTCTTTTGTCCCCCTTTTCTTGCTTGCCTGTCCCACACCCAGCAAAAGACTCGACCCCTCATAATTCCTCTGTTCTGGTTGTTCCCGTTGATCTCTTTTTTTTGTTTTTTCGTTGGCTGTCCGGTCCTGTCGTCCCTCATCGATCGATCAGCTCATGGAGTCCGAAACTCGGATCTGGCGAAAAGAGGCTCAGACAAAAAAACCTGTTGGACCTGCTATGGTGGGTTCTTAGATGCGGTGGGAGCACGAAATGGGGACAAGGATCAAACATCAGGTTTGGGAACACCTGGAAAGGAAGACCTGGAAGGTTTGGGAATGCCTTCAGCCCTGGGAATGAAGATTACATGACAGATAGACATGATAGACACAGTATGACACAGAGGCTGTCTTTTTCAAGATTTCAATTTGTCCCAAGCACTGCCCAGTGCTGCCATCCAGTCCGGATCAAAGGCGACTCGGTCGTCCAGGTGTAGTCAAGCTCACCCGCAACAACCGGGATGCACTGGTGGATCAGGCGTGGTCGAACTTGATGCACCAGTGGATCTGATGGGTCGTGTTTGGTAATTTGGTCAAACGCGTCCGGAAGGAAGAGCAGTCATGAATCACCAATGCATCACCAATCAAGCTAGACAAGAATAGATGCAATTTTCTGGTATGGGCACCTGTTAACACATGAAAAGGATGCCAACATGTTGACAAGAGGTTTACTTTGTGTCAACTATATTATGTATTACTAACTATATGTCAACTGTACTTCCCGAGTTTGGGGCATGCTGACGCTAGTCTGCCCCTTTTGCCTCAAGTTGTGCATGTTCCGCAGAAGAGAGGGGAAGCCTCGTTTTTTTGCAAAGATCGATGGCCTTCGGTATTCTTCAGTCCACAGGAGCTCACCCCTTTTGTTCTCAACTGTTGCTTATTCTTTCTTGGCTTAAACAGCCAAGACTGCCAAGACACTATGACTATGAGTTAAAGCCAACACTCAATGAAACACTAAACGTTTTTGTTGGCGTTTAAACACGTGTGTTGGCTTTTGTTCGTTTTTTTAACATGTGTTTCTAGGTCACCCGATCCTGCGATCCGATCGCACCGGCCAGACCTATGCACAGCTGCGGGAGAGTCTCAGTTTGGGACCTCCAGGGACTGGAAAGCCTCGGGTCAGGACGAAGAAGAAGAAGGACCGGCTTAGAAAATGGGTTTCCCACGCCAAGACAAAGCCAAAGCCAAGCTGGTTGGATCAGTTCCGTTGCCAAATGAACGGTTTACCATGGTTTACCTATATTTCTGCCAGTTAAGATGTGAATCGAGCTTGTTGGTACAATGTTCCACCATCTTCCACCATGTTCCGCCGGTTTGGTTTGAATCTCGCAGTGATTTTGGTCGGTGTTTTTTAGACTCAAGCATCTTGAACTAAGCTTGTGCACTTTTGTTTCAGTGTTTTTGGAACCTGCCAACTTGTTGATGGCTTGGGATTGTCTAGGTATCGGATGAAAGGTCGACGTTCATTCCTTTCTCCACAGATCAACCAGCCTCACGAACGCGCAGGAGGAGGAGCGCAAAGCCCGGGAACGTGCAGAGCGTGAGGCACGAGAGCAGGAGGCGGTCGAGCTCGGCGCGGTGACGCGCGGTGATGTGTGGATTTTCCCTGCGACCAAGGGACAATCGTCCGACGTTGTTCTTCACTACTTTGTAGTTCGGTGAAAGGCTACCTGGAATTCAGTTTGTAATGTTCAATGAACACTATATAATATCCATATGCCTTTTTTCTTGCACAGTCGCACAGTTTTTGAACTGATGTTGCTGGTTGTTAAGGGTAACTACGACTACGGCTATTGTACTTGTTGATGTGGGTGATGTCGATCGTGAATTATGGATCGTGAATGATGGATCAGGGCTAGATTTGGTATGCTGTTCTGTCCTGCATGCCAGAAAACTTCATGTCCCAAGCTTGCTTCATTTGATTGCAACTGTTCCAGCCACACCGGGCCAGGAACGGGAGCGTGAAGAGGCTGCAGAGCAGGAGAAGGTCGCGAGGAGCCGACGAAGATGACGTTGGTTCTCATGGTTCCACCAAACGTATAACTGAAGTTCCATGTGATCGTCAAAGACTCCGTCGGATTTTTTGTTGGAGATGGGTGTCGAGAAAATTAGTGATTTTATCCGATAATTTTATCCCCATCCTCTCGCTTCCCTCCCTTGGCTCCTGAGTGGCCTCGCCCTGCCGCCCCGTTCTACGGCGTACTGTTTTGAGAATGTGATACTTGTGTTCGCTTGTGTTGCAGACCAAATGATGGGGAGTTGTCCATTTGGTCGCTCAGTCTTGTGCAGTCGATACATTCTAAGGACCATTGAAGCCATGTTGATCAAGAAAAGGATTGGATCGACACGGCTTTACAGGTGTTTACACTTACTTGCTTCGCAGGAGAGAGAGGCAGATGGTCTGATGCCTAGAAAGATCTGCAGTTGACGGCTGTAAGAATTCCGAGTTTCAAGCAAATCGTGTTGCCTAAAGGACATTTCACCATCCTAGCGCCATAGCAGAGGGCCATGACCACTTGCCATCTTTGCCGAGGCCAAAGAGAAAGCTCGCGCGGAGCGCTTGGCCAAGGAGAATGGAGATCTTCAGCGGCCAGCGTTCTTTCGGTCAATCCAGGATGAAGGAAGTTTCACCTCGCCAAAATCCTGGAGGTTTGATGTTCTCTGTTCGAAACAGACGGACAGTTGCCTTAAGTAGCGCGAGACCTGACTTGTGTGGTGTAGCTACCCAGGACCCAGATGGTTGCACTTGGACCCCGAATGAAAGTTTTCACCTCATTGATCATGCGAAATGACCAGCACAAATACGATTTGATGTACTCTACTTCCTCCGAGCAGAAGAGTCCAGACTTCTGAAGGGAAAGATGTTGGTTCCGCTGCAGAAGTCCTGGACGGACATGATTTGTCAATCAGCATTCACCAAGCTGCCCAACCTGTACTAGGGAAACACGGGAAACCCTTCGATCGACCCGGCAGATCGTGCGTGAGTGATCTCATTTGGTTTTCATCTGTTGGGTATGATCCACCTCAGGAGCGTGCAGAGAGAGAGGTGGAAGCCGCCAAGGTGCACGAGCGTTCACTTCTTATTTTCTTCGCCTGAACATGCTGGACAGAACCTGCTAATAGTACTCCCTTGAAAACTCTTCGAACCATGTGGTCGTTTGTGTCCATGCGAGCTTCACGGGTGTATGTGTAACCACATAAAGGTTATAAAGTTTGTTTGGACTGGTCAACTGTGGCAGCATTTTTGTTTGACAACTTCAGGATGGTGATACCTTTAAAACCAATCGATCGCCCATTTGGTGTTTACAGTTTACATGTGTTTTGGTTTCCAGTGAAGTGCGTGTATCATTCCTTTGTGGGCCGAGAAAGGCCAGCTCAGTTACTCATCTCAACACCTCATTTATATTCACAAGTTACCTTCCTGTCTACTGTGTAGAGTTACTAGCGCGCCTCAAGGGTCCGTCACCAGAGAAACTGGTCGACAGGAGGTCCTACTGTGACCTTCTAGGCCCTAAATTGGGCCCAAAAGGCGTAAGATTCGAATCTTGGCATAGATAAGTGCCACCTCCTAAGCACAAGATCCAAACCGCACCTTTTCGGCCCATTTCTTTGACCATGCTCCTGCATTTTTTCTCTGCGAGGCACGTGCCGAGCGAAAGCGGCGCGCGGAAGCAAGGAAGAAGGCTCTGGGGGCCTCAGGTTCTGAATGGTCGGACAATGAAGCTTTGAGCACAGAAAGGACATCCATTGGTTGAACTGCAGGGATTTACCGGGTCGACAAAGTGTTCTTTTAACATTCTTCAAGAACATGACGCAGAGCCTTGGTTGATGTTGCAGATTTTGGTCCACCTGGTCGCTCGTGGGCCGCACTTTTAAAACACATGTTGCATGTTCTTGAAAGTAGAGACCTGAAATAGTCAGACTATGTCAGACTCACAAATGATACGGTGAATGACCAGCAGGGGTATCAGCAAACCATGGAACACACATCATCCTCAAAACATCAAATTCACACTTGCATTTAGCTTGCGTTTGCAAGTTTTATGTTCACAAAAGTTACCAAAATGTCCCACCGGGACCCTGCTACACACCCTGGGCGTTCAGGAATAGAAGCCCTCACAAGCGCATCGCGGCCCTGGAACTGCTGGGGACCCTTCTGCTTTGCCGTCACTTGCTGCGCCTGAGGGTGATGTTCCTGGACGCCTTCGCCTACCGGTTGGCAGTAACAGCTCTGGCAACGTCTTGAGCCTCCTGAACCTCTCTTCGAGAAGCCTCACACAGTGGCCTGTTGCACCGTGAAGGTTGTAGTGTGGCTCCCAGCCATATACCACATGAGTACAACACCTGGGCGGATGAAGTGAGTTCATCCGCCCATCCTGACTTCCAGGGCTTTGATGCAGCTCTGCGATTGGAGATGCCTACTGACCTTTTTGCATTTTCCATAGCACCCCGCCTTGGCGGCAGATGCCTTTTCTGACTGAGGCCCTGGCCCCCCTACCCAGCACCTTTGGCCCTGAGGGGGCCAGACGGGGTGTACCATGCACGGGCGAGAGAATCTGCCTGTCACACCCTATTTTGACTTCAACTTGCATCTTTTGGTGAGAACAGACAGGGGTCAGAGCACCCAAGCACTATACCAAGCTCCTGAGAGAAAAAGATTCTGCAGAGCCTTTTGGAGCTTGGTTGGCAGATTTTTTGTTTTGGGTACGTACATCCATGTCAACCAGAATCGATTCCTGGTCCAGGCGCTTGAAGACGCCAAGAACGGCATCGCCCGGAGCCCCGGTGACGCCAGTCCCGGTGACGTGCAGCCGCCCCATGTCACGGAGAACGTGAAGACCAAAGCAACAACTTGTTATCTTGTTTTTTAAGTATAGAGAGTTGTTGCTCTTTGATGCTTGGGGGGTGGGCCATCGACAGTGGTCTATGGTTTTAAACAAAGCTGCTGTTTCTCAGGTTGTAGAGCAGGAGGATGTCGATGATGTCGATGATGTCGAGGCTCGGTGCTTGAAGAAGGGTTGATAGGCGAGGTATTGGAAACGAGTGGCTTTCAAACCAAGACACTTCTCCATGGAACAGGTGCTTAAGTGACATTGGTGCAAAAGGCCAATCCCCTACCCGACGGACTCTCCCTGCCATGTTGTGTTGACTTCCAATTGCAACAGGGCATGCTTGGTGCTGCCTTGCCATGGGTTCGCGAAAGATACATATATAACCATACAAATAGAACGAGACTCGTCCGCAATGTGCTTTCCGGTGCATGCCGATGTGTCAAAATATTCAAACAGTTCGGGTGTCGTGTCTCTAGGAGTCCCTTAGTGAGTCCCTTGTAAAGAAGCACGACGCTCAACCCTGGAAGGGCGCCCCTCGTACCACCAAGCAATCTGCTGCACACAAAACTTGTGTTCTCCACAGACCGCTTCAAATGAGTTCCTCAGGGGTTATTTCCTCCAAACAAAGAGGGAGGGTGGGAGCTAGAACCGAGTAGCTGCGGCTCGACAATGTATGTTGGATCGTTCTTTATTCCTGCCCGAAAGTCAAAGACTCAAGGATTGGTCGAGGACACCTCGGTACTCGACTGGCCTTGGAGGGATTGGTACTCGATTACTTTCTGGCCAAGGACTTCGGCGGAACATCTTCCACGACCTCTCCTATGCCTGTGGCTTTGAGACCCGGAACTGCCGTGAGTCGGTCTTCTCGGGCAGTGGAACTCCAAGCCACCAGGGCTGCGAACGGGAATGGGTGCACGGGACCTGCGAGAATACAGTCCAGCTGTACCAGCCTTGGCGGTGCAGGTCTTGCTGAAGCTGGAGCTTTGCTGTCAACGGTCTCAACAGGTGCAGTCTTGGTGTTGGCTGCCTCAATCTTCTTCTCCAGCGCGTCCTACTCTTCGTATTCCTTGACATAAATGACACTGGCAGATGCCTCCCCTCACATGGCCTTCTCACCAAGCTCTGGAAGGCGGGAGTGAATCCTCACTCAATGTCCAGCTCGAGGTGCACGCAGCCTCCTCACGACTGAAACCTCAACACGGACGCTGCCGGTTCTACACCAGGAGGAAGGCTCGCCTTTGGACCGACAGGCAAGTAGCAGCACACCGACAGGCAGGCTGTGAATCTCGCTGAGTAGCTGCGGTTCGTCCACTAAAATGCGATTCGATCCTGCGGTTCGCCTCTGAGTCTTTCCGCGACGATGGGGTCATGTATCAGGTATCATTGTTTCAAGATGAATGACCAGGTCATTGGGAAAAGGAAACTATTTTGAATTGGCATGTCGTATCAGATATCACGATGTATTACATGGTATTACACATACCGGTCACACACACACACGAAATATATATATATACTTTATGTGTTCCACAACATTTTTGGATGGGGGCATGCCAGTGAACATTAGTGGTTTGGTTATGGGATGTTGTGGGATGGGAAGGCCGCCTGCGACAAGTCCAAGAAATATAAGATACACTTTGCGTGGACTACCAACATCACACCACCAACAACAAGATTGTATCTTCCCAACACCAACATAGTATTTTTCCATTCCCTTATTTGTCTTCCGAACACCAACGTTGAGTTGTATCCTCACTCTTCCTGCACAATGATCTTCCTTTTCTTCCCTTCCTGAGCAAGTTGTGATTCATCGCACTAACTTGGTGTGAAGCATTTTAGAGTCACAGCCCTTTTTTTTTTCGTGGAGTAGAAGTACCAGTAGAGAGGATGTGCGTCCATTGTGCTTGAGAGGGCAAGAGTCACTCCGCATCAACAAGTGACCTCCCCTGTGGCCGTAAGTGGTGATCCCCACGTCAAACCACGGGAGGCGGTCGCGCCCTCGTTGGATTTGGTGGATGACGCCATTGATGTCCTGGAGGAGAGGGTCAGTTCAACCAGTTCGACACAGCTTACACGTGCTTGTCGGGCATTCAAAATCATGGGAGTTCATCAGGTTGTTCTTGATCTTTCAAAACAATATAAGTTAACCTGCAACACTTGATATGATATCGTAGCAGTTTCACACCGTTTGACAATGCATGGTTGTTGCAGTGGTTTCATGTGCTTTCTAGCACAAGCTGTCCCAGGCTGATAAGTCCTTGAATGACCGAATGGATGGATCAACTGAAAATGACACGAATGGCTGCATTGTAGGGCTCCTCCCCTTCTTAGCATCCTCAATCAGCTGAGAGTGTTTTTCATGTACGTGTGAATCTCCTCTCCATTTTTTATGTTCCGAAAGCGCACACAAAACTTAAGATGGACCGCAATGACAATCTTTCTTGACAAACTATAGGGTGTTCGGGTGTTCATGGGTTTTCTATGCTTCATGAAGTCCCTCATCCAAGGAGGCACCACGGAAGAGGCGGAAGACCAAGGCCCCTCTTCGCCTTCGCTCGTAGCCCGCGCACAGATGCGAAGGAGACCGTACACTCCGACTCACTCGCATGGAAGTGGAAAACCCCCTGTTTGTAAAGGGAAGTACTCTTCCAAGGGACCATTTTGCACTTCCATGTGATGTGTTCGTCAGAGTGTATATCGTATCCTTTGTCTAGTGTTAATTTTCCTCATCAGATTGAAGCTTTGTCTCTGTTTAGACGGAGGAACACTAGAGTTCTTCTTTGATTCCAGGCTGTCCTGCAGGCATCTCCAGATTCTGCGGTCTCTGCAGCTTGGAGAGCATAGGTTTTCTTCTTGTGAAGTGAGGCAGTTTATATAGTTCGCTGTGGAAGACCGAACAAGTTGAACAGATTGCTTGACGTTGGGGTGCTGGATGACTTGAACATTTGGCAGGTTTGCAGTTTGATCTTCTAAGCTCTGGTTTTCATGTTTGGTTCTGAATATCCCTTCCTTGGCCAACCGGGTTTCCACCAGAGCTGCGAGTGGCCGGACCCACAGTGCCAGCGTGTGTGGCTCGCCCCGAGGCTTCACCAGCTTCGCCTTCCCCGCAGGTGCCAGCTGTCGGGTGACGGGAAGACGGGACTGCCTCAAGGCACTGCTGAAAGGGACTGCCTCGAATATAAACGTTCCTTAATTAATGTTCAAATCTTGACAGAGCCATCATAAGTAACCAAGTTTGATGAAGCTTGACCAGTCCGACAGTCCCATTCAATGTTTGAAAGGGAGCAAACGAACTCAGATCCCGATCGCATTTTGGCAATTTGGGAGCTATTACTGGTTACATTTGGTTACTATACGTAGCGTTTGCAAGCGTTGTGTTAGGCGACCTTGAGACCACCGTGACCACCAAGAAACCCAATTGAGAAATCGCACTTCAATGCCTTTTCGTTGGGCCTAAGCTATACAGTGAACAATGTTCAATCGTATTTCCGATGTACTTTTCCTGATGTTTTCCGGGTCACTCCTTCAAATCTCCCAAGTCCTTCAGCTAACCCTGGGCCGAAACATCCTGAATGGATCGATTTCCGATTCCCGTCCACCTCTTCAGGGTCCAGATCCGCCCTCTCCCGACGGCGTCTCACGCGTGGTGCCTGTGGTGCCTGTGCTGGGCACGGCGGTGCCGGCGAAAGTTCAGCTCGTTGGGTGGCGGATAGGTATTGAAAGCTGTCCTTGGTTTTTGGCTAGATGTCTAGAATAGAGTTGTCTATAGACAGTCTATAGACGTTTATTTTTGTTGGCAAGATGTAGCGCTGGCTGTCTTTAGGATGCCGTCTTCTCGGGGGGTCATTGTGAAGATTTGCTCACTGCTGCTTCACTTCGGAAGTAAATATACATTCGACTCGATTCGACCATAGAGTTGACACAGGAACAGTTGCCACTTATGGTTTTAACACCGCAGGAATCATGACAAGTTCCATGTTCCGAGAAAAGTGAAGAGCAAAGGGTAAGGTACGGTTGTAATACTATGAAAGCAAAGCGAGTGGATAAAAGCCAGGACCTTGTGTGGTGGTTGTTCATTGTGTTTTCCCCTGTGGTCTCGTGGAGAGACGTAGCTCGGCCACAGCTCCAGTTCTTGCACAAAAGTTTGCAGTTCAAGGAACATTTCTTGAAGAGAGCTATCCAAATCTAGCTCTCAGCCCTTTGCTTTGCATAGATAGAAGGCTACTTCAAGGAGAGGAGTCTTGGGATTCTTGCACCCCAAGTTGTCACAAGTTCAGGGAAGGTGGTCTGACATGGTGTGACGTGGCTTTTCTGAGACAAAAGTGCCCTGGATGGTTTTCTAGGGGTGGTTGTCCTTTCCTGTCTAAGGTTCCTCTTTGGACATTCCAGCGTGTAACGACCCAGTCCATCAGAGAACCTGTGTGAATGCCTCTCATCAATATAGCTGCATGAAGCATTCGGAGCAAAAGAAAAGGCAGAGAACCGTAGTTAGCAGGCCAGCCTCCTTTGTGCTTCAGATGCAGTCTGCAGTAGCCTTGGAAAGTAGACCTTCTGAGTGGCCAGTTGTTTAAGATGATTCTGCCAGTCTTAAATGGTCCACCCTTCACTTACCCTGTGTGACTACAAGTCCTGTGGTCTGGAGCCACAACTGCCTAGTGCACACCAACACATGCTGCGGAGACTCCAAAGAGCGTCTCCTGCATTTGCGTCTCATGCTGGCGCGTGCCTGGCTTGTGGATGTTTGCCTTGCGCAGCCAATCTCTAAGTGCCTGCCGGGCCTGGTGCGTCGGCGGGTGGCTTGGGCATTCAAGAGGAAGATGTGGTAAGCAGGTTCAATCACCGCATGGTTGATTCGGGAGACTGCCCGACACTGCCAGGAGTTTCAAGACGATTCAGAGAAAGATGCAGGCCTTGATTTATCAACACCTTGTAGCAGGAGAGAAGCACTTCCAGACCTTCAGAAGTCTTCAGATCTTGCCTGTTTAGGACTTGCATTCATAGAGGCAAGATTCCGATGTTGAGGAGATCCACAGTGACCAGGATTCCGATTTTGAGTACCTCTGCACCATTTCAGGCAACCTAGAAGAAACTGTTTTTTTTGTTTTTCGGCAAATGGGTGCTGCTGGGCCTGGCCGTTTGGCCTGGTAAGCCACTGAACTGTGGCAACAGGCTTTGTCGCTGCCCAAACTGTAGAATTCAATTGAAACAATTGCAATTTCTACAGGATACTTCAGCTTTAGCTGCAGCTATTACAGCAGCAGTGCAGTCACACAATGGCATTGATTAATATGGATTATGTAATATATATATATATATGAAATGCCTTCAAAATGTGCGATGGTACCTAACATATAGTTGCATATTAATTCTCCTTATTGGGATCCCTTTCAGACTCGCCGCGTCTCACCCAGATGCCGCCGAGCCGCTACTTCTGCTGCCGCTGCGGGGGTGTGGAGCTCAGTTGGTAGGTCTTTGGCCGTAGACAGTTTGCACCAGGTATCAAAACAGGGTCAAGCAAACTCTTTGGTTAGAGCCTTTGCCAACCTCAGTAGTGGGGATGGGACCACTCCAAACTCAATGTACAATGCAGTCAAGGCCACGCATTACACAGAGTTTGGTTTTCCCCACCTGGCAGGCGAGGGTCTCTGAATTTTAGATCGCCCACCCACCGTCTTCCATCCTGCCTTCCTTCCCGCCTCTTGCTTTGCTGGAGTTTTGCTGGTGTGGGCTGCAGAGTGGTGCACCGTGGACTTTTGGCCCAGAACACATGCCAGACTTGATTGATGGCAGAACAGGCGTCAGATTTTATATCAGAATACATTTCAGAACAAATGTGTGAATATCAGAGCAAATAGCAGCAGTAGGGCAAATGCCGAAGCAAGGCCAGAACGCATGTCAGAAGTGATGCCAGAACAAATGTCAGAACAAGTGACAGAACACATGTCAGAAGACATATCAGAACAAATGTCGGAACACAAGATTGCCATTTGTCGCAAGACATTTCAGACCACATAGATTTAATATGATTTGTGCCAGAAGCACATGCCAGAATATGTCAGAAAACATGTCTGGCTTGACGGTAGGACCGCATGCGAGAAAGGATATCAGAATGCCATGCAGTCCAGAACATGTCCCGCCCTTTGTGCTAGACGATGTGTCAGAACACGTCAGTGCACATGTCAGGCAGCGTTACTTTTAATAGTTTGTCAATACATGTGTCCTGCCTTATTCTAAACCGCCTCTCAGGGTGGGATCACTCAAAGTATTTATTTTGCGGATTGTCCAGGCCCTTGCATGGAGAGTTCATGGAACCAACACAACTGGGCTGGGGTCTCATATTCGTTTCATGCCTTCGGTGCATTGTGGGCCCTGAATCATCCTTTCAATCGTAAGTGGTTGGTGGTCCCACTCCATACCAAGGGGTTAGTAGACAAACTGGAAGAAATTACACAACACATACAAAAAGAATGGCAACAGTGGTTGAACTGATTTGCATGGCTTTCAAATCTGCAAAGATCACAGTATTTTAGTGAATGACCAAAGGCATCGATTCCCAAGCAGTTCTCAAGGTCCTGATGAACCGGTACAATAATGTTGGTCGAAGTCGTTTCTGAAGCGGTGGAAGGGCCACGGCGCTGTTCTTTTTTACCAGAAGAGATTGAATGTTTATGTTCTACTGTGTGTACATGCATAGCTACATATATATATATATGGAGAAACATAAACAGGGCATCAAACATGGAGACACATAGAGATACTGAAGTCTATCAACCCAGTCTATAGAGTCAGAACACGAAGTTCCTCCTTGACCGTTTTCTTTCTTGTGTTTTTCCATGTTCACAGAAAACAAGTTGGTATACGAGGAAAACTATATATATGAAATGATGGTGACATGAGTGTGATTTACTAATAAACAAATGTCCCAAAATAATCATGAAAATGGACCAACAGGCTTCATGTTAGGCAGCTTCATTTACGGGTTGTTTGCGATTACTTACTAGGTCGACCAACGACGTTTGCCCTGAAGCACCATCTTGGCTTGCAACATCAGGATGGACTTGATGCGGCCAGAGCGAAGTCCTCTTGGACACAGGCATGAGTGATGGGTGGCCAGCAGACGCACTAAGATCTAGCGTCCCTCCAATCAGGATTCCAGAATTATCTACACTGTTGTATGATTCCAGAATTCTGTGTGAGGGATTGGAGAAGGGAAGATTGCGTATTTGCCTCACATGATGAGCAACAGTTTGACGTTGGAAGGACGACTTTCCACAGCTGTTGCTGGACGACCAGATTGGTGCAAATGGCCAGCATCGTGCACTCTCTTCTTGGGCTGGTTTGCGCTCGGCGACCAGCACTGCTTTGCACAGAGGCAGGGCCGCAGGGCGCAGATTCAGATTGAAGTTTGAAGTGAAGTTTTTGAAGGGGCGCTGAATGAACAACTTGGAGAACACGAAGTCAGGACACCTACACCAGAGTCAGGAAACAGGCTCGATCAAGTCAAGAAACCGTTTTTGACAGAGTCAGGAATCCCACAAAACCCGGAATCAGGGTACCCACCTTGCAGATTACGCCTTCTTTAGGGGTTCTTGGCTAGCAGGGTTTCACTGCTTCGGCCTTCGCTTAGGGCTTCAGGTGCTTTTAGGGTTTCTTTGGGTTCGGCGAACGCAGGGTTTGCTTTTGTAGGGTCTCTTTGGATTGGGTTCAAGGATGTTCAAGGCTTCACTTCTTTAGGCCTCTTTGGGATTGGTTTAGGACCTTAGTTCTTCAATAGTTTCTTCAATATTTCTTTGGGAATGCTTTAGGGCTTGGCTTCTTTTAGATTTCGTTTGGTTTGGCTTGCGGGTCGCGTTTAGGCTTGGCTTAAGTAACTACGGACATGATATATGAGCTGGCTTTCAATCTGGCTCCCCACAGAGCCTAAGTTTCCTGACTCGCTTTCCGCTTTCCGCCCGTTTTCTTGACTCGCTACGCATCTCCTTTGACATCCTTTGACTAAAATTAAAGTTTCAACGTTTCAATCTTTCTACACCCCACGTTCCTCCCGAGTGGAAACATGTCCCTTTTCCCAGACACGCGGTCACAAAGGAGCTCAACTCATGTGATGTATAATCGCTCCGAACCCGTTTGACAAAAAGATAATACCAGTACTGTGACATACCTTGACTATGCTGACCTTTGGTGGCCCAGCCACCACAACCAATTTGTGTGTGTGCGTCTGTGTTTTGTTTTTTTGTTTGTTTTTTTTCAAGGCTTCACACAAACCTGGGCTTGGCTTGCTTGTGCTTCAACAAGAGCCACAAGATGCCAGAGTAGAACAAGCCACAGCTTTCCTTGACAAGCTTGCAATACACACAAGTGTACGACATATTATATAACGTGTTTTTGTTTGGCGCCCTCCGCTTCCGAGAAAGATGCAAGTTGCACCGTTGCACCCTTTAAACAAAACAACTTTACAAGGTCCTTTTGTGTCTTGACGGAAAACTTCAAAGCAAGAGAAACACAGCTCCGCCATGTTTATCAACTCCAGGCCCTCAGGCAGAACAAAACGATCACGCCTGTAAGTCGAGCACCACTCCAAATGTCAGTCCTGCCAAGTTTGGGTAACGGAGGTTGGAAGTCCTTTCAATGTCACTAATTGAATTCCTTTGTAGGTTCAGGCTCGTCGTGGTTATATAACTTGTTTGTTTTTTGTTAAAAGGGGGTGTTTACTGTTGCGGGGGAGTGATTTGCAAGCAATCATTTCACCTGGGCATG